GGTTGGAACTATAGTCTAAGGGTGGAACGCTTAGACTATGGAAACTAAAGGACATGCGTAGACCCATTTTTTTTTCATCCACTAAGATGAACCTTAGACTATGGAAATGGAAACCAAAGGACATGTTATATTGACATGTATAAATCAGTCGTTATATGTATATGATGCATTTCAACGTTGAAACCATAAACATGTTATTATATAAGACAGCCTATTTGCCTATTTTCCGTATGGTGCCGGCCTAGAATAGCACCACCCCCTTCTTATCCTGTGGGTGTCGTAAAAGGCGACTAAGGAAAAAATTGTCAGAAGAAGACGGGCATCAGCGTCTTCTACCCATCTTGGCCAGAACTGCGATCGCCAACCCGCCTGCCAAGCGTGGCGATTATGGCACAACCCCCTTATGATACACACACCAAAGAATTGGCCCCTAGTCCCCGGCAGTCCTGCTCTTCCTAGTCACGGTAGCGGCTTTGGAAACAGGGCATGGGGTGCGAAGAATCCCCGGGAGAGACCCGGCTACCATCAACGACGACGACTGGACCTGGCAACCTACAACACGCGCACATTGAGGACCGACGCAAAGCTCACAGAATTGGAAGAAGCTATTAGTAAGTTACGCTGGGATATCATTGGGCTATCTGAAGTCCGAAGAGAGGGGGAGGACTCGATAATCCTTAATTCCGGCAACTTACTGTACTACCGGCAGAGCGATCAACAGTCCCTTGGCGGTGTCGGGTTTATTGTCCACAAGTCCCTTGTTAACAATGTGATTTCCATCGGAAGTGTGTCGACCAGGGCGGTATACCTGATACTCAGAATATCAAAACGATATTCGTTGAATGTCATTCAGGTTTATGCTCCGACCTCGACACACCGAGATGACGAAGTGGAGGCTATGTATGAGGAGATCTCAAAAGCCATGCATAACTACAAAACCCACTACACGATTGTTATGGGGGACTTCAATGCAAAGTTGGGAAAGCGTTGCGGTGATGAACTGAGAGTGGGGCAATATGGAGTTGGACAACGGAACGCCAGAGGCCGGATGTTGGTTGATTTCATGGAAAAGGAGAACCTCTATATGATGAACACCTTTTTCAGGAAATCTCCAACTCGTAAGTGGACCTGGATGAGTCCGGACGGCAAAATAAAAAATGAGATTGACTTTATCATGTCGACGAAAAAGCATATATTCAATGATGTCTCTGTGATCAACACCGTTAAAACAGGAAGTGATCACCGGTTGGTACGAGGCACATTGAATATCAATATCCGGCTGGAAAGAACTCGACTGATAGAGTCTACGCTCCGACCAATACCTGCACAACTCCAAAACTCCGAGAGCTTTCAGCTCGAACTTCAAAACAGCTTCGAAGCCCTCGAAAACTGCATAGATGTGGACGATCTAAACAACATGGTGCTGGACACTGTCCGTACGGTTGGGTCCAAGTTTTTCAAAACCCACCGTACCAGAATAAAGAAACTCTCCGACAAAACACTTCAACTCATGGAACATAGAAATGAAATGAGGCTACAGAACTCAGAGGATGCAAGTCACTACAGGCGGCTAAATAGGCAGATATCGAAGTCTTTGACTAGCGACATACGCCAATTTAATACAGAGCGTATTAAAGAGGCCATTGAGCGGAACAAAGGCTCCAAGGTGTTCGCGTAAGATCTGTCTATTGGGCAAAGCCAACTGACGAAGCTAAAGACTGATGACGGTAGCATCATTTCATCTAAGCCTGAAATCCTGAGGGAGATAGAGAGTTTCTATCGACAGCTATACTCCACGAAAGCACCTGTTGAAAGCGAGGTTAGAGACCCCACTAAAAACCTCACGATGTTCCTGCACGCACCTGGCGCCGGAGCCGCGGGGTCCCTTGAGGTTAGAGACCCCAGAGCCAAGCTTACCCGACATTATACCGAAGATATCCCGGACGTCAGCCTGTATGAGATTAGTGTGGCTCTCAAACAACTCAAGAACAACAAAGCGGCGGGCGATGATGGAATCACTACAGAACTTCTGAGAGCGGGTGGCAAGCCGATACTTAAAGTCCTCCAGAAGCTTTTCAATTCTGTCAACGTCGAAGGTCAAACGCCGAAGGCATGGGGCAGAGGCGAGGTCGTTCTGTTCTTAATAAAACACTCTTGAAGAACTATCGGCCAATCTCGCTTCTGAGCCTTATCTATAAGTTGTTTTCGAGAGTTATCACGAATCGTCTCGCTCGCAGGTTTGACGACTTCCAACCTCCCGAACAAGCCGGTTTCCGAAAGGGTTTTAGTACCATAGACCACATCCATACGCTGCGGCAGGTTATACAGAAGACCGAGGAGTATAACCGGCCACTTTGCTTAGCGTTTGTGGACTATGAGAAGGCCTTTGATTCGATCGAGACCTGGGCGGTGCTGAAGTCTCTCCAAAGGTGCCAAATAGACTATAGGTATATAGAGGTGTTAAGGTACTTATACAAAAATGCCACTATGTCTGTCCGATTACAGGATCAGAGCTCTAATCCTATCCAACTGCAACGAGGCGTGAGACAGGGAGATGTGATATCTCCAAAGATGTTCACTGCTGCGTTGGAGGATATTTTCAAGCTTCTGGACTGGAAAGGACTTGGCATCAACATCAATGGCGAGTACCTAACACACCTTCGATTTGCCGACGATATAGTTCTTATGACTAAGACCTTGGGAGACCTGAACACAATGCTCGAAGATCTCAGTAGTGTTTCCCAAAGAGTGGGTCTTAAGATGAACATGGACAAGACGAAGATCATGTCGAATGTCCATGTTGTACCCGCTCCAGTTAAAATTGGGAGCATTACACTCGAAGTTGTTGACCAATACGTATACCTGGGGCAGACAGTCCAGTTAGGTAAGTCCAACTTTGAGAAAGAGATCTCTCGTCGAATCCAGCTCGGATAGGCAGCGTTCGGGAAACTCCAAAAAATCTTTGCGTCCAAATTACCTCAATGTCTCAAGACGAAAGTCTTTGACCAGTATGTGTTGCCAGTGATCACATATGGATCAGAAACGTGGTCCCTCACTATGGGCCTCATAAGAAGGCTCAAGGTCACTCAGCGGGCAATGGAGCGAGCGATGCTCAGTATTTCCCTGTGTGATAGAATCAGAAATGAGGAAATCCGTAGGAGAACTAAGGTAACCGACATAGCTCGAAGAATTGCTCAGCTGAAGTGGCAGTGGGCGGGGCACATAGCTAGGAGAACCGATGGCCGTTGGGGCGGAAAGGTTCTTCAATGGCGACCGCGCACCGGACAACGCTCAGTGGGTAGGCCCCCCACCAGGTGGACCGACGATCTGGTGGAGGTCGCGGGAAGCCGATGGATGTGGGCAGCGCAGGACCGATCGTCGTGGAGATCGTTGGGGGAGGCCTATGCCCAACAGTGGGCGTCGTATGGCTGAATGACGATGATGATGATTTGCCTTGCCTTGCTTTGCCATCGTTCTGTGTCACTCGCCTAGCTGACCGAGAGACGGCGAGCGCTAACGTGTATAGAGCTCGTTTGACGTGGCTTGTCACTACTCGCAGTCGCTCGTGACTACTCGTCTCACTTCGGAGAAATGTCGATTTTTCCGCACAAATCAAAGGCGCTCAGCCAATAGTAGTCAATTGACATTGTATAATCAGACATTTGCATGCTATTTAATATATGCGAAACATGTTTATGCTACTACTGTCTTTTGTTACATCTCCTGTTATACCATGTCTTAAGCAAATAAACGCATGATAATAATATTATTATTGATAATATTAGTACCTTCATTTACTTCCAAAATTAAGTGGAAATATTAAATGTTTACTTAAATTGGTCACTGATATTAATTCTATACCAATGGATAAACACATAAAGCTTACACTATTTGGAATCTGTTTAAAAATTTCTTTATCAAAATATGAATCTTGAGGTTGGAATGTATAGGATTTATATTTCAAAGTTTTCGTTTTTTTTATATACTCTCAAATTACAAAATATTATTTTTTTCTGTGCTATTTCACTTTTCGTAATATTGGAGTATTTGTAAACGTAAAACAATAAATTCAAGATTTCATGTGACGTTCCCGGATATTCCCATACAACCCAAAATATTCCCAAATTGAATATTGATCTACTTTAATTAAATGTTTGCATGTCGATAATGACTTATCGATAGATTATGGTACGACACTAAAGAAATCCACCATTTGTTCGTTCAATTTTTGTTTAAGTATGCACATTCATTCCGTAGTTAGGCAACTCCTTTCTCTTATTTTTTTTCCATCCTCTAAGGTAGACCTTCTACGAGGACATGTTATGTTGACATATATAAATCAGAGGTTGTATGTATATTATAGCATTTCGACGTCGAAAACATAAACATGTTATTGTATTTGTTTAACTATTGCGTGCCACCTTAAGCCAAAAGAAATAGCATTACATTGATCTGTGTCAAACACGGGAATCTCATCTTAAATGCCAACCGTGCCATTTCGCATTTTTTTTCCATCCTCTGGGGTGGAACGTATCTCATAATAGTTTGTGGGTGGAACTTGGCCACCCAAAGAAAGAAAAAGAAAGAAAAGAGTTACAAAATGGGGCAGTACGATATTTAGTCCTAGTCTGTATAGTTTGGGTTAAATAGAAGATATTTGGCGTTTGCTGTTGAAGTGTCAATGTCAATGTCAGAGCGAGCGATCTCACTCAACAACGTCAAGTCAAGTCAAATCATTTGTATTATTTCGACCCTGTGAAGATACGCTGCGTTGTTAACTTTGAACGTTTATTTAAAATCTTTTTAAACTAAATTAATTGTAGACTACGATCTCATATTTATATTTCAAAATGGAAATCTCATTCAAAGGAAAAAGAATTCTTGTAACCGGTGCCGGACAAGGTTAGAATTATTTATTACGTTTATACATGAAATATTATTTAATTAGCACGCTTTTTAAGGATTAGAATGTTGATTGTGTTGTAGAAGTGTAATTTGAAACGAATATCTAGTTGACTCGTTTTATTTATGAGCTTATAATTTGCTTTAGCAAACTTCTTCTGTCTTAGGCATTGGTAGAGGTATAGCGATCGAATTATGGCGGTCTGGTGCTAACATAGTGGCTTTATCTCGTACCCGGAGGCACCTTGAGAGTCTGCAAAGCGAATATCCTTCAATAGATATTGTGGACATTGACATCGCGGACTGGGAGAAGACGAGACAAGTGGTTGAATCACTTGGACATTTTGACGCTCTTGTCAACAACGCGGCGATCGCTGTTTGTGAACCCTTCTTGGATTGCTCGCCTTCAGATTATGACAAGTATGGGTGTAAAATGGTCACATAAACTGCATTCCAACAACTTCAGTTTGTGAAGTCATACATCCATTTGGATAAAGCAAACGCGACAGTATCACAACTGCCAACAGCCAGCACAGCTAACTTGCAACAACTGTTGCTATTTTGTAGTTGCCAGTCAGTTGAAATGCAACTTGTGTGATTATACACTAAACAAAGGTTTAAAGCACTCAAAATCATACTCAAGTCCCTGCCATTATGGTATCTTGACTTGAGCATTGAGTAGAGTTCTAGAATACGACCCTAAGACTGACTTTATATTCAATTTATTTTTAAACAATACCCAAATTTCCCTTAGGGGAGAACTTGCAAAAACTTAAAAGAAGGGACAGAACTTAACATTAAATAAAAGCCACAAATGTAGTTTTTTCTATATCTAGAGTATAAAAATGGAGGTATATTTTGGCCAATTTGTTCTTGCTACTATTTCAATATTATGGATTATGATAATACAATTATTGCTCTATGATTTTCTTTGTTTAAAGTAATTCCAAAATGTACTAAACTGATTTTAAATATCTATCGTCGTAACAAAGTGGCAACGCAGATGCTACAGCTATTATTATTATATCTGTTTAGCATAATAGAATTTTATTTGAATGATTTTTTAACTTATTTGGTATTAAATATAGGATGAAATATATTAAACATGCTTAATACAGAAAGTATAATAGTAGTTTAAGATAAAAAATGTTTAAAGAGACATTGTGTCCAGGAGGTTAGCAACATTTCACGTTTCAATTACTAAACTTATTCTCCAGCAAAGTACCTGGCAGTCTGCACCGGAGGCTTCGTTACAGTATACTGAAAGCTCCCTAGTGACAATTTCCAGAAATGGGCACAGTTGATACCGCTTAATATACAAAAGTTGTTGCGCTCTCTGGAGTTAGCATATTTGAATTTGTTTTTAGCTGATCTGATGGCACAGTCCTCACCACAATTTTTTTATATTACAAAGTGACTATATGAAAAATGTGAGTGCCTGATGGTTAGCGACACACCTGTCCATAAGAGTTGCAGTGCCACTCAGAGTTTTAAATCACAAAGATATGAGGGACACTGCGCCAGTCACTCTAAGACATAAGTTGACAAGTCCCATGTGCCTGTTATTTCACCAACACCCTTACTCTTCCAATCTGGAATGCAGTAATGCTCACATTACTGCATGGCAGCAGAAATAGGTAGGGTGGCCAGTACTTCCCTGGACAAACACTTTCACAAGGAGCTGTACTGCTACTGAAATACATGCCAATGTTCCCACAGACTGCACCCCATACTAACAGTCTGTCAGATATGCAGCATATGAGCATAATTGCTGTCATAGCTATTACTTGTTACAGAACCTTCAATGTCAATGTAAAAGCCGTCCTAAACATAAGCCAAGTTGTAGCCAGAAAAATGATTGAGAATAAAACTCATGGCGCCATAGTTAATATTTCCTCACAGGCATCAAAGGTAATAGACGGAATTGTTATCATTAAATGTGACAGTGAAAGAGATAACCTTTATAGGTATTTCAGAGTGTACAAACTTGAATCTAGATAAGCTGAAATTTTTACCAGTAAAAGTTAATAACTGATAAAAAACACAATGGGAATTCTATTGTCTGCTTTGACTGTGTAATCTTGTTTATCTTTATGTTATTCAGCAATAGCATGTAATTCCGTATGTAATCCAGTGATTATATAATTTATACTATCTTTGTTTTGATATCTATTAATAATATTACAAGAAATTTTCTCACAAAGTTTTTATTTGCTGATTTATGATTGATAGAGACATGATTTAATGATTATTGCAGAATTTTTAAGAAGTTACTAATTGTATTAACAGGAATAATTGCAAAAGTAACTACTAGTTTGCTTGGATCACAAATTCTTCTTTGTGTATTATGTTGTTGCAGCCACACTGGTTCAGGTTTCAAGACAACCTTTACAGCTTTTAGATTTTTTACTAACTCTATTATGCTGTGTACATTTTTATTGTCATAAATTTTTATTGTTCAGGCAGCTTTGAAGGATCACGCAATCTATAGCGCATCGAAAGCCGCATTAGATGGACTGACGCGAGCCATGGCATTGGAACTTGGACCTTATGGAATACGGGTGAATGCTGTAAATCCAACAGTGATAATGACTGAAATGGCAAAAGTCGGCTGGTCTGACCCTGCTAAAGCAAATGAGATGAAATCAAAAATACCACTTGGAAGGTAGTGTTCTAATTTTATCTGTGATAATATTTTTATTTATTTTTATAATATATATCGCGGCAACCCCATCAGCATCCTGAATGCATTACTACATAAGCATGCAAAGCGTTATAAGCTAACCTTCCGTCAAGTTGTAATGTGGACATCACTGCATTCTAGTTTTAAACAGTAAGGGTGCTGGTGAAATTATAGGCACATGGGACTTGTCGACTTATGGCTGAGGTTGATGGGCGCAGTTGCTTGCCTCTCGATGTTTGCGGTTTAAAACTTTGATTTGCACTGCAGCTCTTCGTCGCCAGACATCATAAAAAAACGCTAATTTCATATAGTTATAATGTAATTTCAATGCCATCTAATAGCACGCCCTGAAGAGGATTATGTGTGGATATAATTGATTCGGTTTTTTTTGTGATATTTAATATATAAAAATGTTATATGAGCTTAATGAGTGGGAAACTATCAAAATGCCTTGTGTTTGTTTTACGAGGGTATACTTTACTATGTGTACATTTTGTCTTAAACTAAGTTTCTTAACAGTTCATTGCCTATTAGCAACACTTGAATCTTTATTGTCCCAACGTTTCACAACGATGTGGCATTAAATCATCAAGGAGACTATCACATTCAAAGAACAAAATTCTTAAAAGTTATTTACATTTTCTATAAAATTAAACATAACTACTGGAAAACAAATAGAGATGTACGTATAGTAATGTTATAAGGCAATAGGTCATGTTAGGTCATCATATGATTGTCATGACTTGATAGTCTGTTGTATATAAAACACAATTGTAACAAAGCTAACCTGGAAAGTATATAAGAATAATTTACTGTTAGGACATGCCCCACTGTTGCCTAAGAATATAATGACAGTGATGGCGACCTCTTTAATTCACTTATTCAGAACCCAACACTCGTAGGTACAGCCAGTGATAAAAATAATGGTGTAAGATATAAAAATACAGTTTGACATTAAAACACCTCATATATTAAAATATAACGTGAAAATCTATTCGCTACAGTTTCGCAAACTATAATATATAATATTTTTGTAATGTAAAGGCGTAAAGAAAAATTATATAAATACTAAAAATTGCAGTTCGTCCTTTCGTAATCGCTGATTAGACCAGGCAATTTAGAATTCATGTTTCTGTCGTATGTCGCATAATAGTTGCGACGCGCGCGATAAAATTGAAATAAGCGCGCCGTATTGACTATCTAAATTATATCTGATTGAGACAACCAGTAGCGCGCATATTTCAATTTTATTGCGCGGATCGCGACTATCATGCGTAGCTATGCTACGGGGGCTGATATACAAACACAAGCTACTTCGTAAAGTCTGCGTCCCGAGATTTCTTTTCAAAGAGCCACAAAAGTATTTACGTTTAAAAATTGGTAGTGTTTGAGATACAATTTTGTACACTTAAGGTCGTATTCTAGAACTCTACTCAATGCTCAAGTCAGGATTGCACTGGAAATACGACCCTAATGGCAGGGACTTGAGTACGATTTCGAGTGCTTTAAACCATACTCAAATCCTGACTTGAGCATTAAGTAGAGTTCTAGAATACGACCCTTAGTTCCTAAATTAGCTTGTGGTATAAAATCTAGCAAAATCATCACATGATCAATTTCAGAGTCATATCAGCCTTTAAAAAGTTCAACGAACTTCTAAGCCCAGCATATTTATTCTATAAACTAATAAATTAATCACATGCTATTTTAGTCGCAATTTCATAAAAAAAGTACCTACCTACCTATTGTAACTATGTGTTAGTTTTTTATAGTGCCAACAGATGGCGTTGACCGGCTTACACAATTTTTGTAAACGCAATGTAGATTTTCCCTATGTAAGTAATTGAACAACGAAAGTATCTATCGAGAATTCCAATCCAATTGGTATTGGCTTCCGATGAGCGTACAACGCGTTTTGAACGACACTGGAAATTGTTCAGAGTAATGCTGGCCATCTCGTTTCGCCTTTTTCTAAAAATACTTAAAGTTACGATCATGCCTTCACTACTATTTTTTATGATATCGTGCGTCTGGTGGTAATAATAATAATTGTTTATTTTAGTCCGTAGAGTATAGTAGAAAAATACTATTCTCAATTTTAAAACATCAAATAACTTTTAGAAAAAAAACTAAATAATTTAAATGTCACATAAAAAAATAAGTCACATGAACAAAGATAACTTTAACTTTAAAGTTAAACGACCTTTGCCGTTAATTGATATTTCATTTCATTTATTTATTTGCATTTCACATGGATGATAAACTTATACATGTGATACCCTGTAAGGGTGTAGCAAAGTTACAATGGAATTTAAATACATTGCAAGCTTGAACGTAGTTAATTAGTTTAGATAATTAATTATATTATAGATTCTATAATTATTAATAAACATAATTATTACATAATATTTTTAACTTAAAATTAATTAAATTATTATTTTTATAATTATTAAACATGTTTGTTACTATTACATTTAATTTAATTTCATTTATTGCAATTCACATTTTAATAAACTTAGATACATACATGTGATACCCTGTTAGGACGTAGCACAATTTAAACTTAAACCTAATGATACAATTATTTTAACATAAATATTATAATATATATTATTCATACATTTATTGTATTATTATAATATATGTTATTCTGTAATAATTAAAAATTAACATTAATATAGAAGTGAAGTAGTTTTCTGACTATACTATAATATCGACTGTGAACTGGCAACCGGTACTACCTCAATTTTGACAACTTTACATTGACTTTACAAGTGAAGAAAAAAATTGTTCGCGTCATTTATATAGTTTAATTGTTTATTAAATAAAACACGTAGTTTTTAAATATTTTTATTACACATACACTACGTATTTTTATTTAAGAAACCGGATGGTATATAAATGACGCAAACAATTTTTTTCTTCACATGTAAAGTCAATGTAAACTTGTCAAAATTGAGATAGTACCGGTTGCCAGTTCACAGTCGATATATATAAGATCTCAATTTTGTCCATAGCACTGCAACTGCTATGGACAGGCGTGTCTTTTAACACCAGCCGCACGAATTGTTCCTCCCATTACTTATTATTCGTGCGGCTGGTGTTAAAAGACACGCCTGTCCATAGCAGTTGCAGTGCCACTGAGAGCTTTAAATCGCAAAGATCTGAGGGACACTGCTGCTTTACCTGTCACCAGACATAAAGTTGACAAGTCCTTTGTGCCTGTACTTTCATCAGCACTCTTAACGGAACCGGGACGCGTGGCAGTACTTGCCTGGACGAACTCTTTCATAAGGAGCTCTATTGAAATAGATTGTTCGAATTATCCTTCTGTCACCACCGCCTGTTTCCATTAGATCATAGCGCCCAGTGAGCGCTGAAGAGCCCTAGGGCAGGAGTCTCGGAAACAATTGAGGGTTGATGTTGTTGCCAAGTTGATGCTGTCCAGGGGGACCTACCGCATTTGAAAAACAAAAAACGGAATTATCTGTATAAACTACTCTACAATCATTTTTTTCTTGTGATTTTTTTTATTAAGTCAATGTAAAAAATACGTGTTTTCAATTATTTTTTATGGTAGTGGTCGTTAATTTTTTTTTATCTTGCCTGTGTGAGAGGTGAGCCAAAAAGTTTGGGCTCCAATGCGTAAGGTGAAAGACAAGACAAGATGAAAACAATTTTTTTCCACTTTTGATAAATGAAACGATATATTAAAAACAAGAAAAGAAGTATCCCGTAAGAATGTCAATTATTTTGATTTTCGGACTATATATCGCATCGACGCTTGAAGGTGAACTCTCAACTACATGTGGTCGAAACCAACTTCAAGCATTACATGCAGTCGGTTTCATATTATCAACTACATGCAGCCGAGACCTCGACTGCATGAAGTTGATAACGACTTCACGCATTAACTGCAAAAATGCAATCAAGCAATCAAAGTCAGAGTTACGTTTACGTTTTTTATATTCCATTTTCAGATTTGGAGAAGTGTCCGAAGTAGTGAATGCGGTGGTGTTCCTCCTAAGTGAAAGATCTAGCATGATTAACGGAGTCGAATTGCCCATTGACGGTGGATTCCTTGCCACATAATCGTGCCATAACCAGGGCTCGAACTAATAAACTAACCTTTTTATAAAAAAATCATATAATTTTTTACTCTATGTATAAGATCAATTCGTATTTGTATTATATAATACCAAAGAAATCGTCGTATGTATAAATAATTACATAAGAGTTAATTTACTTTGACATTTATGTAGTACCTTATTTGATAACAAATGTAGCTTTCTGTAGGTACAAATATAAGTTCCAAATGAATATCAGTGATTCCTTTAGCAAGCCATAGATACAAATGTTGTTTTGTTAAATAAATGCCATTACGTTAAAAAGATATTGTTTTTATTAGCGTTACTATAATCAATATTATTATTTATATATAATTTCTAGTACGTAGTCGTTTAAATGTTATCACGAATTACTTTTTATTGGAGTCGAATGAGATAATGATTGTGTGCGTGGCGCGATAAGTCGTGACAGTACATTGCAAACAACCAGTTGATTTTAATACACTGAAAGAATATGGACAAATTTAAAGGGAAAAGAATATTGGTTACTGGCGGCTGTCAAGGTAATCATTGCCTAA